AACTCATTTTAAAAAATTATTTATTTAATAACCACATACTTAGAAGAAGCATTTCATTACAACAGTATTGACATATTCAAATACAATTTTCTGAGCTAGGATGCATCGCTTTCAAAATTGGCTGTAAATTTTTAGGTTTACAGTTGAATTATTATAGTTATACAATATTGTACTCAGTATAAACCCTATAAGACGTAAAATTAAATGAGGTTTTGACCTTTAAAAAAGATCTATTCTTTGTATAAAATAATGGGTCTCATTACAACACTCATTGCATGTATCTCATGTACTCTCATCTTATTCGTTCTCCATTGCTTTCTCTTTCCTTAATTCTCTCCCACTGGCCCACTTCTTATTCCTAAATAGTATCCCCTCTACCTTAAAGTTCGTTTTTTAAAGTCTAGAATTTATATACTAGAGGAAACATATTATACCTATATTTCTGGGCCTGATTTAGTTTACTTAGCATCATGATATTCTTTGCTCATCTCTTAAGCTTTCCTTCTCCTCCTGTGTTCTCCTCCTGTCTGTCTCCTCCTGTCCTGAGCACTAATTACTTCTCCCAGATTTTCTTCATAATCTTCTTTTGGTGTCTTGTTTCTGGTTTCATTATCTATACATTGCTCCAGACCAGAATGACTCATTTTTAAAAATGATTTATTTATTTATTTATTTATTTATTTATTTATTTATTTATTTATTTATTTATTTATACAAAGTCTCATGTAGCTCATGCTGGTCTCAAACTTCCTATGTAGTCAAGATTTACCTTAAACTTGTGAGCCTCCATTTCTTGGGTGCTGGAATTACAGACTTGCACCACCATGTCTGATTTTATGTGGTACTGAAGATCAAACCAAAGGCTTTGTGCATGCTAGGCAAGTACTTTATCACACTACATCCTCAGCCCCAGACTGCCTCTTAATAGCTACAGATCATAGTACTTCTTACCTTACTCAAAATTCTCAGGTATATTATCCATTTATTTATTTATTTATTTATTTATTTATTTATTTATTTATTTCTTGCAGGACATGGTTTTAATTTCAAAGCACAATATGCAGGCCCCATTCTAGAATCATCTTTTGCATCTTCATATACATCCTCCTCTCAGGAGAGCTGGTTTACTAACTTCTCTAAATGTGGCAAAACAGCTCCTGGTTTTGACTGTGCAATTCCACCTTCATAAACAGTACCTTTACCTTATCAACTTAAAATCATTCTTTGAGACACATGTTAAGAATTCTAGAAATCTTTCTTTATGGTATCCTGAATGATGTCTTCTTGATTATCACCATTATCTCCAAGTTATTGGAACAATCATTGGATTTTAATCTCATTACTGATTTTGTTTCATAAATAGTTTTTCTTTTTTAACCTGTAAATTTAAGAGCGATATGTTGTTCTTTGAGGGGTATAGTGCAACTTCCACATAGTTTAGTTTGTTAATATGTTTAATTAAGGAAATACTTAAACATTTTTTGCTGTCTTTGGGTATTTAAATTATGCCTTTTAAATTATTTCCATCTTCACAGAGAAAACACTGTACATGGTATTAAAAAAATAAAAAAGTGTGTGCTGGAGAAATGGCTCAGCAGTTAAGAGCACTGACTGCTCTTGCAGAGGACCTGGGTTCGATTCCCAGTACCCACATTGCAGCTACGAACTGTCCTCAACTCCTGTTCCAGGGGAATCCGATGCCCTCTTCTGACCTCCATGGCATTGTACAACACAGGTGCACTCACATACATGCAGACAATACACTCATACACATAAAAAAATTACATATTTTCTTGTGAAATCCCCAGAATATAGGAATGACTTGTATAAAATGGTATAAAGCAAAAATTACAACTCTCATCTCATAGGGATTAAGAGATAGTTTATTCTAGAGCCAAATATGAGTGACTGACCATGGCCTGAGATCAAAGATTCATGTTACCCCGAATTCCATGTTTCAGCATAGAAGCAGTTTCATGAAGTCTTTATAGTAACAGAACAAAGAAAATCTAGACACTTTCAAATACATTGGTGGAAACACTGAGTAGGCAGATACAACAAAAGAGAAATCTTAGCCATAGGCCTCAGATGCTATTAGATGGGATTCTTAGCCTTTTGGTTGGTGGGCACAAGGGCTTTCTTAACACATTCCTAAATGTTTTTTATCTGTTCATCACAGAATGTTAAATCAGAAACAGAGGTGGGCAAGTACTGGCTATTTAGGGGCTAAAGATGGCCCAAGATAAATTATAAATGGGCTCTGGATCTGCGACATGCCAAACTCTCCACAATCATTGAAGCAATGATCAGTTGGTCAGCCTTGTAAGAACTTCAGTGCAAGATGCAGGATTTTTCTGGGAACTTTTGTTCACGATGGATATAATCTGGACTAATGACTTTTAATTAACCCCAGCAAAACCTTGCGTCTTGTAACCTGGGCACCTGATCTTGTTTCCCAGGGATCTTAATTTGGTACTCCACCCAAAAAACAATGAATGAAAGAATGTGGGTATGCTTGAGAACTAACATATCAAAATGGCATGCCCTTCTCCATGGCACACATTGAAGATTGGGAAGGACACATGACCTTGGGTGAATGAGATATTCTAGAACTAAAGACAAAAAAACACGGTGATCTGTTATGATAAGGGTGGAGCCAAGCTTGTACTTCCCTAATTGAAGCTGGAGAAACCATTTTTAATAAAATTATGGGTGGGACCTGACTTGAGGACAACTTCCAGAGGAAAAGGTTACAGGGATAGATCTACCAGCACAGTTGCAGGAGACAGATGGTTCCACGGGATATCTGGGGGAATGAATGCCTGCTGAGTTAGGGCCCACTCTTAAAAACTAAATTTAAGAGTTGGACTTTTTGTTCAGGTAATTGTAATATTGGCATAGTAATGCTGAACCCAAGCTTGGAGATTTTGAATCTTCTTTTTGTAGGAAGAAACTAAACTAGCAAATCAAATGGGAAGAAAAAAACTATTACATGAAGCAGTAGTAGTAACTAATTAAACTGAAAAAAAAAACCCTTGGATAAAAAAGTAAAAAGTATTTAAATTATGTTCTTATGTCCTTAGGAATTAAATCTCTAGTTTCATAAACATCACATATTTAATATACTGATTTATAGTAAAGAGAAATTATAGTTAGAAAAGGCCATGACTAAGAAATGTGAGGCTGTGCTGAGTCCTTACCCCATCACCTGCAGTAGCCTTCTTAGCTTCCTTATCTGTACAGTAGAACTGAAGATAAATAACTGAGATAATACAAGGAAAGAGCTTAGTGAAAAATCTGGTACAAAGGGCAATCATCACTTGCCTTGGGAAGTTACTTTGATGATAGTAATGCTAGAGAAATAAATTCTACAGATGATTAAGATTGCCACTTATTGTTTACCAAAAATTAAAGTCTTTCAATACATCAATTTTTAAGATATCCTTCTCATGGAGATTGATCAATTTGTAGGCAGGCCCTTAGTAAAGTTTGTCTATTACTAAAGGACCAAACTCCCTAGGAATGAATGCCTTGTTAAAAATCATTACATGCAGAAAAAAAGTCTGCATATTGTGTATCTAGTCACCAAATTGCCTTGAAAAGGTAAAATTGCTGTTTGGTCATGGGACAGAGAGAAACTCAGAGCTGTTGGTTGCTTAATTTGTGCTGTGTTTCTTTCCCTGAGCTCTGTCACCACTGGCCAGTCTGGTCACTGCACACTCTACCTTGTGTTGAATGCACTGTTTATATACTCCCTGTTAGTCTGGCTCAAGACCGAAGCAACAGAATCACAAAAAGAAACTGCAAAGCTGTTGTGGCACTTAGAAATCTGGGCAGCTAAGACATTCAGCTGCAGCTACTGAGTCTAGAAAGGAGAAGGACGGTGCGCTGTGTACTCCGGCTCTGCTCTGGCTATGCCACAGCGCCAGACACAGGGCCGGCTCTCAAATATTTGCTGAAGGTCCGTCCACCCTATACAACTTATTTTGAGTCAATCCCATCCCAACTCAGGGGGCAATCGAGCTGTTTGACCTGAATTGGAGTATCATTTTGCAAATATAAAATCTATCTTGCTCATATGTTTGCACAGTAAACAACAACAAAAAGAAAGACGCAAAACCCAGCAGTTAAAAACAAAGCCCTCGCCCCCCTTTTCTTTTAATGCACATGCCCTGACCTTTATAATTTGGACTTCTTGCAGAGCGTCCAACAGCAGCAGAGAAGGGTAAGAGACTTTACAAAGTCTTGTGAAAGGAATGCTTCGAGGTGAGTGCCAAGGGTCCTACTTTTCTGCACTCAGGCACCACCCAGGGCATCAGGGTCAGGCACCAGGTAAGCCCGGACAGTTCTCCCTTGGCCCCTCATTGGGGACCGCGCTTCCCCAACTCCACCTCCACGGGAAGCCTGCGGGAGGAAGGATGCTGGGTGGCGTGGGTCCCAGCAGTATCCGCACCCCGGATGGTGCTGTCCCTTAGCCCCGGGGGCTCTGCAGTAAACTGCGCGCTGGGAGCACCCAGCACACTAGCGGGGACCAGGCAACTGCGGTGGCGGCGCGCGCACGCGCACTGCGCGGCCCCGCGTCCGCACCTCAACATTCCAGTCCACGTGTTGCATGTTGGAGGCGCCACAGGTTCCCCACCTGCCCCGGGCGGCTCGGCGTGGGCCGGCGGGGCTGGGCGGGAGCGC